CATATAAAGCTTTTAAATTATTGAAATCCTTCACTTCTTTCAAAAAAGAGCAATTTTTTAAACTTAGTCACAACTCAAAAGAAATTACAGATCCAGAGATACAAATGGAAATATGGGTTTCACATTACTCTAAAATATTTAATAGCAACGAACCCTCCTCTACATCAAATAATTGCAACGATCCCTCCTCTACATCAAATAACCAAATAGTAATATCTCCCATTGATCAAAGTCCATCTACCTCAAGTTTCTGGCTTCCAAATCTGCTAAACCTTGGACTTCCCCAACTCCTTCCCGCTCAAAATTCTTATATCTCAAATTTTTTATCTAATTCTACGTACAACTCAAATTTAGAATCTCCCATTGACCAAAATGCATCTTCCTCAAACTCCTGGCCTCCTCAGGTGCAATTACTCCAGAACCCTCCTAAATGGCCTTCTGATCTATGCCCTCAAAACTCTTCTTCCTATAATCTCTTGCCATCTAAATTATTACATTTACCAAACCAAAGTGAGTCTTCCATTCATCATGGTCCATCCACTTCGTACCTCTGGCCCCCACAATTATTTCTCCCACAAGATAATACTCATAATACTACATCTTTATCTACACATTCTTCCCTCTCTACCTTATTCCAAAATACAGATAGAATCATAGATCCTATCAAGAGTGAAATAATAAATATAATAAAGAAACTAAAAAATCACAAGGCGTGTGGTCAAGAGAATATTCGTAGTGAATATTTAAAAACGGACCCTATATTATCCGCCGATATACTATTCCCTATCATATCGAGAGTATGGAAGGAAGGGATCTGCCCTAGTGATTGGCTATCGGCTACCCTAATTAATTTTCCAAAAACTAAGTACCCTAAAACTCTAGAGGATTGGAGAGGAATCTCACTAAATTCTATAATTTATAAGATTTTCACTAACATAATCCTAAATCGACTCAAACCTTTTATAGAACGAGATTATGTGGATTCAATAGTTTCATTTAGAAAGGGGCATAATGCTCTTGAGGCTATTCTCAACTTAAAGATACAAATAGAGAAATCTATAATACGAAAAAGGCAATTAATAATTATAGCTCTGGATTTTAGGAAAGCTTTTGATACGATTATTCATGATAGGTTATGGATAGCATTAGAAGAAGTTAATACTCCAACTTCTTTGGTAAAAATATTAAAAAATATCTATAATGATTACTCGATACAAATTATCCATGCGGGTCATAAATCAACAAAAATACCAGTTAAGATAGGTTTGAAACAGGGATGTGTCCTTTCTCCTCTTCTTTTTAATTTTATTACAAACTATATCATAAAAAGAGTGACTAAACAATGTTTAGCTCAGATTCCCATCGTAAAATTTAATATTCTTGCTTTTGCCGATGATATTTGCATTATAGGAGATTCTATATCACACCTCCAATTGCTAGTGGACATGATGACCCAAGTTGCTGATTTTTTTGGTTTAAAAATAAATATAATATTCTCCCCTCCAAACATGAATCTAACGATACAAGGAAAAATAGCAGAAGTTCAACAATTAAAATATCTAGGAGTGATACTGGATAGAAAAGGAAATACTAAACTAGACCTAATAGCTAAAATAAATAAAGGCAGACTGAAATATAGATCTTTTATGAAAATATGGAGTTCGAATCAATTATCAATTCCGTTAAAGATTCGATTATTTAAAACTTTAATATTCCCCTCCTTAATCTATGGTATAGAAACTTGGAAAGATACCAAACAAGAAAGTAAAAAGATGCAAACGTTCATTAACAAATGTCTTAGATATATTACCAAAACTTTCTACCCGTATAATACTTCGAATCATAATCTTTGGTCCAGATGTGACATTCTCCCTATATATAGACTATGTGAATATAGGAAAATCGAAATATTAGGGCACATTCTCAGACAAGCCCCAAACAACCTAGTATATCAAGCCCTTTTTATTACCCCTTTGGAAGAATTATCTCTCAAACCTTTCCTATCCTACAAAAATAGTTGGTTTGGTAGAATAAATCGATCATTATCGGACATAGATCTATCTTGGGAATTCATAAAACGTGCTTCGTTAGATAGAAAAACTTACAAAATCGTATTAAGACTTATTTACGAACACTTGACGAATAACTGCTGAGAATGTAACAAGTAAAGATGATTAAATTAAATTTAGTTTAGTTTATTATTTAAAAATACAATTCCATATATTACTTTGATATATAACAAGTAAAGTTGAGTAAGTAAAGTTATTTTATTTTATTACTTAAAAATACAATTTCATATATTGCTTTGATATATATCTAAGAGTTGAAGTTATTTGAATAGGGCTATAGTAAATGAAGGCAGATTAAATTAGTGCACATTGTAAGATAAATTCTAATAGATTACATTACATTATGAGATTTAGGTCTAATAGATTAAATAGATAGATATTTTTAACTAAATAATTATAAAAAATAATATAATTATATCTTCTAACTAAATAATTGGGAATAAATCGTAAATAAACTAAATAAAATTTAATAATCATAATAAAAATTAAGACTAACTATAAAAAAATAATTTTAGATAATTAACTAATGACTAATAATTTGTATTGGATGATACAGTACTACTATTTTTTCCTTTTAAATATGCTCATAATCTTATTCCCTACGCTATTATTATTATTGGATTGGGTGAGTTCCACTCCTCTTAATAATTATATCTGGATTACAAGGTTTGTTGGTATCCTTGAGGAAAAAATCGGCATAATTATTATGGAGGATAGGGCCTCTATAGTAATTCACGTTCGCTCATTTTGGGCAGGTCCATGACCAACGTGCTAGATAAGATAAGATAAGAATTATAATAATATAGTCATACCTTATAAAATAAGTTTAAGCTCTTTGCTTGTAATATGCAGGTTAGCAATATAGCAATTTTTATTCAAGTTTATTATCAATCTTATTTACTTTATGCAATATATATCTAAACTGAAGATTCCATATAAGAATATCCAATATTGTAATATTCATACTAAATTAAAATATTAGCTCTAAATTTTAAAATATCAAAAAATTTATAGGCTACCATAAAATTTTTTTCAAATGGTCAACCTAGTTTATAATTTTCTATAAAATAGGGAATAAAATTATATGAAATTATATAAAAATAGTAAAATATTTTTATTGATAATTAGAATTCCAAACTTTATTCATCATATCATATAATAATAGCCTATTTATATATATGATTTTTTTTTTATAAGAAAATAAATATAACTATAAAATAAATAAATATATTTTTAAATATTTAGAGATATTTTAATAAAAAATTTAAGTAGAGGGGGTAGAAGTAAAATTTTCAAGTAATCTCTATAAATTGAATAATTATTTTATAATAACTTTTTTTTTCATTATAAAGATATCCAATATAATTATATGTTTATATAAATATAATAAAAACTTGTTTTAAATTTTTTATCTATCTGTCTGACCCATACCATATATTTTTATCTAATTGGCCACATATCCAAAATTTTTTATTTATTAATTGTCCAGCCTGGCCCAGTTTATTATAATTTTTGCTTTTCATGGCTTGGATAATTTTAATTTAATCTAAAATTTTACCTAATAGGATCTTCTAAAGACTAAAGGTTTTTGATAGTGAAGATACTTTATACACACTAACTTCCAGAAAAAAAGATTTAAAATTTATAAATTTTGAATCCTCATAGATTTTACTTCATATGTATACATTTTTGAAAATTATTAAAAAATTTATTTATGAACATTTCAGCTTGTTTTATATCTGATTATATATTGTAAAGCTTATTTGATAAAATTTTCCATAAATTGTCTATATCTTCAATTACAGATAATAATTCTCTTTTTTAATTTAAAGATAGATAGCTATGAGTCGCTGTACATCATGCAACAATAATAGCTATACAAGCTTAACCTCTAATAAAAAAAATTCTTTTCACAGGTTATTTCTTTTAATTAATTTTATTTATTATTTTATAATATTCTTTTTTTATTTTAAGACATTAATATTATTTTTTTTAAGATTCCCTATTAAATAAAATTTATCTTAATTACGGCTTTAATCCATTGTGATAGCAAAAAAATTTTATTCCAACCAAATACACCAAGCTTTGTGGAGCAAGTTTATGTTATTTTGGACATTTGCCATATGATGAAACTCCTTAGAAATCTACTCGGCGATAAAAAAATTTTAATCAATAATGGAGTAGTAATTACTTTTAAAATATTTCCTAAATGTTATTTTTACAAAGGGCATGACTAAAATACGCGTCCCCGAAAACTACGCGTCCCTATGCGTCCCCGGTCAAAGAGGTTTAATTTATATAATATTAATATAAAATCTTATTTAGCTTCATAAAATAAGTTAAAAAATGTTTTTTATGATTTTTTAAAAAAAAGATATCTTAGTAAAATTTTAAAAAAATTGTTTTTTTACATGAAAAAACTACGCGTCCCCGGTCAAGATATATTTTTTTAAAAAAAATAAAAGCAGATTCATATTTATCTCATTAAATGGATACAGAAAATGTTTTTTTTTGATTTAAAAAAAAAGTGGTAAGTTAGTAAAATTTTATAAAAACTAATTTTTTACATGAAAAAACTACGCGTCCCCTATCAAGATACAGTTTTTTTAGAAAATAAAAGCAGATTCATATTTAGCTCATTAAATGGATATAGAAAATGTTTTTTTTGATTTAAAAAAGAAGTGAAAACTTGGAAAAATTTTGAAAAAACACTCATTTTTTTCATTTTTTGACTAAACTACGCGTCCCCGGTCAAGATATATTATTTTTATAAAAATGAATATAGAATCGTGTATAGTTTTTTATGGAGATTCCGAAAATGGTATTAATAAAAAAAATTTTTTAAAAAAAATTAATTTTCGAAATTTTTTTTTTGACTAAACTACGCGTCCCCGGTCAAGATACAGTTTTTTTTAGAAAATAAAAGCAGATTCATATTTAGCTCATTAAATGGATATAGAAAATGTTTTTTTTATTTAAAAAAGAAGTGTTAACTTAGAAAAATTTTGAAAAAACACTCATTTTTTGACTAAACTACGCGTCCCCGGTCAAGATAGATTATTTTTATAAAAATGAATATAGAATCGTGTATAGTTTTTTATGGAGATTCCGAAAATGGTATTAATAAAAAAAAATTTATTTTCGAAAATTATTTTTTTGACTAAACTACGCGTCCCCGGTCAAGATACATTTTTAAAAAAATAAAATAAAAACAGATTCATGTTTAGCTCATTAAATGGAAACAGAAAATATTTTTTTTGATTTAAAAAAGAAGTGTTAATTTAGTAAAATATTTAAAAAACACTTTTTTTTTCATTTTTTGACTAAACTACGCGTCCCCGGTCAAGATAGATTATTTTTATAAAAATGAATATAGAATCGTGTATAGTTTTTTATGGAGATTCCGAAAATGGTATTAATAAAAAAAAGATTTTTTTTTGACTAAACTACGCGTCCCCGGTCAAGATTCATTTTTTAAAAAAAAATAAAAACAGATTCATGTTTAGCTCATTAAATGGATACAGAAAATGTTTTTTTTTATTTAAAAAAGAAGTGATAACTTAGTAAAATTTTTAAAAAACACTTTTTTTTTCATTTTTTGACTAAACTACGCGTCCTTACGCGTCCCTGGTCAAGATAGATTATTTTTATAAAAATAAATATAGAATCGTGTATAGTTTTTCAAGGAGATTCTGAAAATGGTATTAATAAAAATATTTTAAAAAAAATATATATTAATAAAATTTCTAAGCCAGCTTCATACACATAATAATGGTGGTAATAATTTCTCAAGCCTGCCAAAGACCATAAAAATTTTTGAATTAGATTATTTTTTAAATTTATATAGGCGGTAGTGGTATAAAAATTATGATATTAAGACGATAATTATAAAAATAATGATTAATTTAAGTTAATTTTAATAAATCAAATATATATGAAGAATTATAACATAATAAAGTTAAAGGGGTGCTCAATGGTAAGAACGTTTGCCTTCGTACCGTTAGGTCGTCGGTTCGAATCCCGGAGTAGGAAAAAAAAATTTAAAAAAAAAATTTAATATTACACTATATAGTCTCCTTAAATTTTAAATTTATTAAGGAGATACGAAAACGTTCATTCTTGATTCCGGCTATTATATATATACTAGTTGATAGCCCGTCAAGAATGACGGGAATTAATGTTCTTAAATTGGATATTAAAATTGTACCTTATAATATATTTTAATTATAATTTTTATTCAAAATAGTTTTCTCACATCAAATATAAAATAAAATAAAACAATATTATATAAAAACGGAGGTGGGCAAAATAAATTCTCACCTCAACTGGCAAGTTCTTCAATTCATTTTATTAGCAATCTAAAATATAAGACTCAAGATATACATATTTAAAAAGCCACAATACCACCCTTCATGCAAAATATTCCATACCTCTATCTATTATACCCTCAAAAAATCCACCAAATAATCTTCAATTAACCTTACCACCCAGATTCCTTTAACCCATATGGATCAAATGCCTCGATCATTATTTTTAAATTATCTATATCAATACAAAATAAATTCTCACCTCAACTGTTGTTTTTGGCAAGTTCTTCAATTCATTTTATTAGTAATCTAAAATATAAGACTCAAGATATACATATATAAAAAGCCACAATACCACCCCTCATTTCCAAGAATACTAGCTTTTATAGTTTTATCAAATTCACTTGATATTTCAATAAAAATCTTGTTACACACATGTTGTTCATTTATAGAATCTTTTAATTAAAAATAATAAATATATTATTTTTATATTTTACATATATAATCTTTTATGATTCCTGTATTAATAATAAATTTTAAAGCAAATAGGTAAAAATAGATATTGTTAACATGTTAAATTAAAATTTCAGTGAAGATGTACTACAGGAAAGTGACAATTGTCATAATCGTTATTTTTGAACCTTTTTAAATTTTTTAAAGCAAATGGGTAAATGAAGATATTGTTAACATGTTAAATTAAATTTCAGTGAAGATGTACTACAGGAAAGTGACAATTGTCATAATCGTTATTTTTGAACTTTTTTGAATTTTTTTAAAGCAAATGGGTAAAAATAGATATTGTTAACATGTTAAATTAAAATTTCAGTGAAGATGTACTACAGGAAAGTGACAATTATCATAATCGTTATTATTGAAATTTTTAAAATTTTTTTAAAGCAAATGAGTAAAAATAGATATTATTAATATGTTAAATTAAAATTTCAGTGAAGATATACCATAAATAATCTTTATTTTTGATTTTTTTATATATAAAATTGAAAACTGATAATTGTCATATGTAATATTTTTAAAGTCTTTTTATTAAACAAGGTTAGAATAAAGATATTTTGAAAATTATTTATTATTTCAAAATTATTAAAAAAATATATTGTTAACCAGGTTTGTTGTTAATAAGGTCCTATCCCATTTAATTTTAAAAAATAACCGATCTAATTTTTTTTAATAAAAAATATTGGCTCATTATGTTTCTTAAATTTTTGATGGCTTTTAGATTGTAAAATATTAAAAAGTGGTGCCTTCTAACTTCTATAATTTGAGCGTTATTTAAGTAAAGTCGTGCTTTTACAATGTACAACGACATTAAACAGCAAGAACTCAAATTTATATTACGAGCCAAATATATTTATGGATTGTCAAATTCTTGGTTTTTTAGTTTTGATAAAATAATAAACCTGACCTAACTTATTCAATTGGATAGATTTAGTTTTTTTTATACTGAAAATATTTTATATTTTTTTTATTTTAGTCTATCAATTCGAGTCGCGAAAGGCAGTTTTAAATATGAATATTTATTGTAAACCTAGCATATAAATATTTCTCCTTTTAAAATTCAACCCATACTTTTTGATCCTTCACTACAAAGGTGGAAAAAAATCCCTTAACTACAAAGGTGGGGTCTATTTTATCCCAAATTTTGATTAATATCTCAGAACATATTAAAACTTGAGATCTACAAATACAATTTTGAATATATATTCAAATATTATTGGAAATAATAAATACAAAATCTTAGATTAATAGTTACTTCTAAAAACAGTTATGCAAATTTTACTAAAGTTACTAAAATAAAAATTTTTTTCTGAGACCTTTCTTTAATTATATTTTGATCACCATAAAGTATTTAAAAAAATGCAAATTTTATTATATATTTTATTAAATGAATGTCGAATATAGATAATTATATAAATTTTATAAAAAGATATCAAATATTAAATAAAATACTAATCATCAAATATCATGTAAATTTTTGTACTAACATTCACGACAAAATGTATGCATATGATCTAATGAATTTTTAACAATTTAAACAAATAAATGTTGTTTTTACCTCCTTCACTCTTGGACAATCTTTACATACTCCCTTTTTATTAGTTGGAATATGTTTTTCATCAGTTATATTGAGAATATCCCCAATGTTGTTACGTATTAATCTACATATACTACTCTCTAATTGTCCCATACATAATATTTCTCTATAAAATCAAGATCTACAAAATAATTCTCTACAAAATAATTCTCTACATTCATTTTAAAATCATTCTCTATAAACGACATTCTCTATAAAACCATTTGTTATAAATGCATTCTCTATAATTGTTTTCTTCTCTATAAATGTTTCTCTATAAAATACATTCTCTATAATGGTTTCTCTATAAAGACGTAAAACCACATTATTATTATTAAAAAATTTTTTATATATAATTCTTTTTATAATAAAAATAAAAACTTCACCCTTCGCCTTCTATTTTATTTGAAAAAAAATTAGTTTTAAAATTTTGGGTTATATTGATGGGGGATTTCTTAACATGTGATGTGTTAATGAAATGGGGGATTTATTAAAAAAAATTTTAAGATTATATAAAAATCTCTCTAAAATTCTTTCTTTTTTATTAGTTATTCAGAGTCAGATAAAATATAACATTATATATTTTTTTTTAAATATATAATTCTTTATATTAATAAAAAGAAAAACTTCTAACGTTTCCTCGCCTTCTATTTTTTTTCCTTAAAAAAATTTTAAATACCCCTTTCCTTTTATTATAAATCATACATATACATAATCATAATTTTCTTTTTCGTTTTATTTTTTCTTTCAGATTAAGATATATGAAATTTTTTCTTTATTAAATAAAAAATTTTTAATTAATATTATGAAAAAATTCTCTTATATCTAACTTCTTTTTATTTGACCAAGACAATATTTTTGCAGCATGCAGCTCATGCCATAAAAAGCTCAAATCAATTCCATGTAAGATATTTTAAATATATTTTATTTTTGTTATTGGTTTTTTTACAACATCTTTAAATTTTGGTGATCTAAATTTTGCTTCACAATTAGGTATATTATCTAAATTTTTTAAGCTAATTCTTTTTAAGATACTTTGGCCTTTTTAAAAATTGAATTAAAGGATAATTAAGAAGAATATTATAATTTTTTTTCTAATTTTAAAGTCATTCAACATACTACAAAACCTATATGTAACAAATGATTTATTACGGAATTAAAATAAGTTCGATACCAATTATATATACCCCACCAATTGTTTTCTTTTTATATTAGGCCTACCTAGTTTAAAAATGACTTAATAACCTACTAATTATATGCATTTTAAAGCGAATCTTAAAAGACATATTTTCAGTCAACATCCTAATATTGCAGCTAATTTAAATTCAAATGAAGTTAACAATTTAGATATATCAACATCAAGTTCGCAGTCAAACGAGAAGACATCTCAAACAATTAAAATTGTCATGAGCAAATCGAAAGTATTTTTTATTACATACATTATTAAACAATAAAACACTACAATTATGATTATTGTTGGTAAATCGCAGAGTTGTTAAAATATACTTTTTAAATGGATCTAGGTAGAGAAATAAATATTAGTCTAAAAAGTTATAGATACAAATACAATTTTAAAAATGTATCTTGTACAGATACAATTTAAACAATTATCAAGATTGTTGTATCGATTATGTTTTTAAAAAAATTATATATGCTTTTTATATAATTATCTAATTTAACTATTACAATTATCCAATTCAATTGATCTTAATAATTAGAGACCTGCAAAAGTTTACCGGCCTCGCACAAGCAGTATTCGGGCCGTGTACGGGAATATTTTTTAAAAAAATGGGAATCAAGCCAGACTAGGACCTAATTTTTTTTAAACTGGGTGGGGTCGGACCATGTAATTTTTTTAAATACACCTAAATTTATCAATTTTATAATGAATTTTTTATGTAATATTAAATTATTTGATTTTTATGTAAAATTTAATTATTTGAATTTTATTTATAGAAACTAGACGCCATATAACATATGTCTTATATTTTGAGTAATTATAAAAATTAATTTCAATATTTAAATAAATTTATACCGGGCCGGTCCTGCAAAATATTTCGGGCCGAGATTGAGATACTATACATTATGCAGATCACTATTAATGATATACTGAAATTTTCAAAGGATTTTAGCATGACAGAATATTAATTTTTATTGTTCTTCATGGCAATTTGCAGGTTTATCCTGGTAAGCCAGCTTTTTTCCCTCTGATTTTATATTAAATTAAGATTTATAGCAAATTTTAAACACCCTTCTATAATTTGGGAAAGTTATGAGTATTTATTATATCTACATATTATTTCGATCATGATTTCTTAATTTATATGGGGCTTGATAAACCATAAACATCAATTATGGCACTTAATAAGTTTTAATATTTTATATATATATTTTTTATTAAAGTAGTTTTAATTTTTTTTAATATATATCAGACACCTGCAGAAATACCATTTGCACGGCCCCGTCAGGATTTTTTTTTAAAAAAATTTTAAGATCAGGCCCGGCCGGTTTTTTTTTAAAAAATTTTTGGGCCCTGTTCGGAATTTTTTAAAATCATATTCGACCTGACATATACAAAAATTTACCTATTCGGTATTTTATCATATTTTTCGGCGAGTATTATCATTTAATATGCATATTAGCTAATGTTGTTAAACAGCTCGTTTTGTGCCATTTTTAAAAACGGCTAACTCAATATTTTTGCCAGAAATATATTAACTATGCCTCGAAATTTTGAAACTATATGTCCAGACCTCTGCTCCTTCTTTGAGCAAAATTTTCAGGTTTGCATAATATTTTTCTGAATAAAAAACTAATTAGCCGTTTTTAAAATCGGCTCAAAACGAGCCATTTAATGAAATAAAATAAATTTTGCATTAAATTATTTTTTATTTATTATTAAAAAGTGTATCAAAATGTATCTTAGAATGAATTTCAAATCAGATACAGTTACTTCTTAAATAATATCTAAATACAGATATTTCATTTTTATATCTAGATATTTTAACAACTCTGGTATCGTATATTTTAATTTTTTAAATGCTATTTGACTCAGATTTACGTTCAGATAAAAAATTATCTGATTGATAACAAAATAAAATTAAAAGGTATTTTTTAATCTGATTTGATATGAAAGTTGAATTTTGCAGGACTTTAATTATTAATCTTATCTTAAATCTAAATAATTTTAAAAAAAAATTTAGGTTTACGAATCGGTTGTGGGATTAATTGCTATTAACAACTTGCCAATCAATTTAGTTACATATGAATCATTCAAGCTATTATTAGATCCAATAGTCCAATCATTGAATATGACTTTAAACAAACACATCGTAAATGATAAAATAAAATATGCGGCATCAGAAATAAGATGCCTAATAATGCATCAAGTAAAAAATAAGCTCATTTCTTTGAAGATAGATACAGCCACAAGATTTCAAAAATCAGTGTTGGGGGTTAATGCCCAATTTATTATAGATGATAAGATTGAAATACGAACTTTAGGCATGTTAGAAATTGTAAAGGCGCACACGGCGTCTAATTTAAAGGAAGAAATAGAAAATTTATTAAAAAAGTATAATATATGTTTGAGCCAAATATACAGTATCACTGTTGACAATGGTGCCAATATTATAAAAACCGTGGAAATGATAGCTGAAGAACAGCTAATTACTCATATCGATCTTTCTGAAGATGCATTCTCAGAATATTTGTTACAAAATAGCGATAATGAGTCCTCGCAGGAATATAACGACTCTTCTCAACCAAATAACGATTATAATAATATAGAGATCACCCAGGAAAATAACAGTGATATTTCAAATATACATGATAATGATTCCTCTGGGGAGTATATAATAAATAATCTAAATCAAGATGATAACATACATTTTCAACATGATAATCAAGAACAAATAAATGATGATATGGAAAATTTATTAAATGATCTAAGAAAATCATTTGGGCTGATTTGTGTGCGATGTTGTGCCCATACTATTCAATTAGGAGTTAATGATTATATAAAAAAATTTCTAAAGGAGGATTTAGAAGATATAAGATCTATTCTAAAAATATGCAAATCACAAAAATATAAAAGTTTATATTCATTAGAAAAAATTAACAAACCAGTGCTGGACACTGTTACTAGGTGGAATAGCACCTATAGAATGCTAAAAAACCTAAAGGATAATAAAATATTTTACTTAAAAATGGGCCATATATATTTAGAAACTTTTATAAATTCAAGACTCTGGGATAGAATTGACGCATATCTCACCGTCTTATCTCCTGTTAATTTATGTACCATTAAACTGCAAGAAAAATCTTGTACAATCGGAGATTTTTTTAAATTATGGCTTGAATGCAAATTAGATTTAGAGGAAATAAATAATGAATCCTCGAATAATTTGATTAATTGTGTGGATTATCGTCAAAAATATCTTTTTGATAATAATGTTTTTAGAAGTGGGATCTACATGGATCCCAGATTTAATTATCAGAATGGAATCTATCCATCCGAAAGTGATAAATTGCTGGCCAGGGTAAATTTATAATATATAACTTTAAATTAAATAAATTTATTTTACTTTAGGAACATCTGATGTCTACGTGGAGACAAATACAAATTTTTAATAAGCCAAAAGATAATCCAGCTCTGAGTGGCTCTCCTTTAATCCCTGTAAGTTGTAAAAACCAGATTAGATGTATATTTGGAGCGAGAAAGCGCTAATGCTCCAATATACCAAAATATTGAAATCCTTGATATGAAGACCAAAATTAATGCTTTAATATATGGTCAAAAATTGCCATCTGATCAAAATATTTTGCAATATTGGCAATCCAAAAAATTTCAGGATCCGGAATTATATGCCCTATCGCGAGTAGTTCTAGCCGCTCCTTGCTCTTAAGTATCTGTTGAGAGATCATTCAGTGCTCTGGGATTGGTCCTTACACCGCTACGAACAAGATTAGAGAAATCTATATTAAATGATATTTTATTAATTAAACTTAATAAAAGTGTATTAAATAACGTTATATTTTGATTTTTATTATATTTATATAAAATTTTTATTTGTATATATTATATCATGTATTATTTAATTATATATAATCATTTTACTAATTAAAATACGAATAATTGAAATACAAAATAAAATTGTTACCCAAACTCTTGAAGTACTGAAAAAAATCTAAATTCACAAATACTTGTTTTAAGTGCTGAAATTTTTAAAATTGAGGTCTTTATAGTCCCACCTTTCTTTTGATGAAAGATAAATTTGTTTTATTAAATCATGTTTTTGGGAATTTTATATAAATATAAGTGCTAAACTGCTAGATTTTCAAAAAGGGCTAAATTTAATAAAGAAAAATACTAAATATATTTGAGGGGAATTAAATATTTTTAACTTACCTAAACCTTGACATTTCGCTGATAAATGTCCAAACTTTTGTGCCATCTATGACCACAATCTTAAGGCTTACATGACGAGGTAACGTTTGAAGTTTTTATTAATAAAAAAAATATATTTTAATGTTATATTTTATCTGACTCTGAATAACGAATAAAAAAGAAAGATTTTTAGAGAGATTTTTATATAATCTTAAATTTTTTTTTTAATAAATCCCCCATTTCACTAACACATGTTAAGAAATCCCCCATCAATATAACCCAAAATTTTAAAACTAATTTTTTTTCAAATATATCTGAATCTGAAAGAAAAAATAAAATGAAAAAGAAAATTATGATTATGATTTATAATAAAGGGGTATTTAAAATTTTTTTAGGGAAAAAAAATAGAAGGCGAGGAAACGTTAGAAGTTTTTCTTTTTATTAATATAAAGAATTATATATTTAAAAAAAAATATATAATGTTATATTTTATCTGACTCTGAATAACTAATAAAAAAGAAAGAATTTTAGAGAGATTTTTATATAATCTTAAAATTTTTTTTAAAAAATCCCCCATTTCACTAACACATCACATGTAGTGTTGTTAAAACGCCGCGAGTCGCGACCCCGACCCAAACCTCGGGTCGTTTTATTCGACTCCGACTTAATGTTTGGGTCGTTTTTTTGACTTCGACCCGAGTTCAAGCCGAAAAAAACGACTTCGACCCAAAATATGGGTCGTTTTTTTCGACTTCGACCCAAGTCCAAGCCGAAAAAAACGACCTCGACCCAAGTCCAAGCCGAAAAAAACGACCTCGACCCAAAATATGGGTCGTTTTTTACGACTCCGACTCAAAATTTGGGTTGTATTTTTCGACTCAAACTTGACATTTGGGTCGTATTTTTCGACTCAAACTTGAAGTTTGGGTCGTATTTTTCGACTCAAATTTGAAGTTAGGGTCGTATTTTTCAACTCCAACTTGAAGTTTGGGTCGTATTTTTCGACTCCAACTTGAAGTTTAGATCGTATTTTTCGACTCCAACTCAAAGTTTGGGTCGTTTTTCTGACTCAGACTCAAACATCGGGTCGTTTTCAATCCGACCCAAAATATGGATCGTTTTTTTTAAAGACGCCTTAAAGTTAGGGTTGCTTTTTTTCATCTAACCAAATATCTTGATCATTTTTTTCGACCAAAAGTCAAATAACATTTAGTAGATATTAATATTATAGGCGGGAAAGTTTCTTAAAGCTTCTTTAAATTATAACGCTCTGGATTAACTATTCCATCATAGTTATTTTTTAAAATTTTTAAGTAAAGATGTACCATAGATAGGTGACAATTGTCATAATCGCTATTTTTGAACTTTTTCAAATTTTTTTAAAGGAAATAGCTAAAAATATATATTCTAAACATGTTAAATTTAAAATTCAGTGAGGATGTATCATAGATAGGTGACAATTGTCATAATCGTTATTTTTGAACTTTTTTCAATTTTTTTAAAGGAATTAGCTAAAAATATATATTCTAAACATGTTAAATTAAAAATTCAGTGAGGATGTATCATAGATAGGTGACAATTGTCATAATCTTTATTTTTGAACTTTTTTCAATTTTTTTAAAGGAAATAGCTAAAAATATATATTCTAAACATGTTAAATTAAAAATTCAGTGAGGATGTATCATATTGTCATATTCGTTAATTTTCAACCTTTTTTAATTTTTTCAAAGGAAATAGCTAAAAATATATATTCTAAACATGTTAAATTAAAAATTCAGCGAGGATGTATCATAGATAGGTGACAATTGTCAATCTTTATTTTTGAACTTTTTTCAATTTTTTTAAAGGAAATAGCTAAAAATATATATTCTAAACATGTTAAATTTAAAATTCAGTGAGGATGTATCATAGATAGGTGACAATTGTCATAATCGCTATTTTTGAACTTTTTCAAATTTTTTTAAAGGAAATAGCTAAAAATATATATTCTAAACATGTTAAATTTAAAATTCAGTGAGGATGTATCATAGATAGGTGACAATTGTCATAATCGTTATTTTTGAACTTTTTTAAATTTTTTTAAAGGAAATAGCTAAAAATATATATTCTAAACATGTTAAATTTAAAATTCAGTGAGGATGTATCATAGATAGGTGACAATTGTCATAATTGTTATTTTTGAACTTTTTTAAATTTTTTTAAAGGAAATAGCTAAAAATATATATTCTAAACATGTTAAATTTAAAATTCAGTGAGGATGTATCATAGATAGGTGACAATTGTCATAATCGCTATTTTTGAACTTTTTCAAATTTTTTTAAAGGAAATAGCTAAAAATATATATTCTAAACATAATTAAAAATTCAGTGAGGATGTATCATAGATAGGTGACAATTGTCATATTCGTTATTTTTGAACCTTTTTTAATTTTTTTAAAGGAAATAGCTAAAAATATATATTCATGTTAAATTAAAAATTCAGTGAGGATGTATCATAGATAGGTGACATTTGTCATAATCTTTATTTTTGAACTTTTTTCAATTTTTTTAAAGGAAATAGCTAAAAATATATATTCTAAACATGTTAAATTAAAAATTCAGTGAGGATGTATCATAGATAGGTGACAATTATCATAATCGCTATTTTTGAACTTTTTTCAATTTTTTTAAAGCAAATAGCTAAAAAAATATATCCTAAACATGTTAAATTAAAATATCAGTGAGGATGTATCATAAATAACGGACAAAAAATGGTTATTATATATACGAGTAGTTAGGTACATAATAATTTTTAAGTGATAAAATGAGATGCTAATATATTTCTTGTAATTTTAATTTATAATAAAATTCTTAAATATGTTATTGTCATAGACTGGGTTAGAAAATCAACTATCACATAAAGTCATCTATGTTTTATTCATATTATATTTTTAAGTTTGAGGATATAAAAATATTTCCTCTTTGATGTTACTAGTTAGGATAAAATTTACTTGGCACATCTTACAATGATATTTATACTTGTTTTTTTTTCGAGAATAAATTTTATGCAATATCTCATAAAGGAAATTACATATCATTGTACAGAGAAATAACTTTGTATATATTATCTGCACCCATATCTTTTTTTATCAATCTCTATCGATGACATTTTAAATTATATTGGAAACTATATTGTGTAGATTTCTAAATATTAATTTAAAATAAGATGCTAGAATTAATTATAGATATATCTTAATAATTTGTATATGCATTTATTATTTAAAATCTCTCGTTTTAACCCTATTTAGCAAGAAAAATATTGACTAATCCTGAAAATTGGACAACTTTTATTAATAAAATTTATGTTACTCTTTAAAATTAAATTATAATTTTAAAAACAAAAATTGAATAAAAAAAAAAATTAAAATTTAATTTGGCTACCCTCAAAAATAATAAAAAAAATTTGGAAAGTTAAAAAAAATGATTATTAATCATATCCCTATCCCTAACAATGAAGAAAAGAAAAAATCTCAACAAATTTGCCGTCTAGCTGGCACCACGCCAAGTAAAATAAAATATCTTTTTTAATTTTAGAATTTAAATAGTCACTTCACTTCCATATGGAATTTTTAAACTAATAAAACAATAAATTTTTTTTATAAGTATTTGCGATTCCGGATGCATTTTTTTAATATAAAATATGAATTTTTTTAAATATAATTTAGTAATTTAGGCGAGCCATATTTTTCAAAAATGTAGTGTTAAGTCGAGTTTTTTTAAGTCGTACTGTAATTCTGAGCGTTTTCCGTACTTTTGCATGATGGCTAAAGATTTTTTGTCGCAGCAAAGTACATCCGTTGAGAGCGAGCGTGTCTTCTCAAGAGGGGTGGACACCGTAACAAAGAAAAGAAATCGCATGGCCTCCGAAACACTTAAACAGTGTTTATGTTTAAATTCATGGGATATCAATATCATGAATAATAAATTTTATATATAATTTTTATATCTATATATATTGTTAATTTTTTGTACATTAATAAATATATATAATTTAAATAAAAATATTTAAACTATAAATGTATCAAATATTTAAGATGTTTTGAGCTTAGTATTCTTGTTTCAGGCTGTTGTTTTTTATGAATACTGGAGAATATTAGTGTTTTAATATTATTTGACTTTAAATTGATAACTAAAATAGTTTTTGATATTAAGATATAGAATTTTGAACACTTGAGAAAAATTACACATTAAAATTGATACTGGGATTAACTTTGAACCATGTTATAAAGCGCTTACTTTTTTTCAGGCGTTAATTATTCACTATTTTATTAAGAAGAATATTATGAGAGCAATTTTTCTCATAGATTATATAAAGGTATAGATATCTATTATCAATTTCAGGATTAGTCAATATTTTTCTTGCTAAATAGGCTTAAAACGAGAGATTTTAAATAATAAATGCATATACAAATTATTAAGATATATCTATAATTAATTCTAGCATCTTAATCTTTTAAATTAATATTTAGAAATCTACAAAATATAGTTTCCAATATAATTTAAAATGTCATCGATAGAGATTGATAAAAAAGATATGGGTGCAGATAATATATACAAAGTTATTTCTCTGTACAATGATATGTAATTTCCTTCATGAGATATCGCATAAAATTTATTCTCGAAAAAAAAACAAGTATAAATATCATTGTAAGATGTGCCAAGTAAATTTTATCCTAACTAGTAACATCAAAGAGGAAATA